ATGGGAGTATAGAATTCAGCAATAACATTGCAGTATGAGAAGATTAGTAATGCTTTATGGTTATGTTATCAAAGATACAGGGCTTGAGAATGGGGAAATGCAAGAGGAGAGCTTTGAAACCATAAATGATGATACAAGAAGGAGGAGAGAGAAATGTTACAAGGACTCTTATTGGAGAGTACAAGGATGTTTATAGAGCAGTAATGGCAAGCCTTTCAGAACTTTCAGTGATAAGAACAGCCCATTGTGGCCTGTGTGCCATAGGTTCACCACCAGTTACAGAATTAAGTAAAGGTAAGAGAAAAAAACAAGTGATAAAAGGAAGATAAAATAAAAAAGGAAGGAAAAAATTATATAGAGTTAAATGAGAGAAATAAAGGGAGAAAAATTTAAAGGGAAAAGAGAAAGATTCTCTTTGATTTTAAACATGAAGTTTTCTTCCAAGATCTAATTTTGGGGCTGTGTCCAATTCAAGACATGTTCCTGCTCACACTGGTAGACAGAAGAAGGCAGTTGTCAGACCTATGCTAGGTGCACTCATCAGCAGGCCACAGGATGGGGGTAAAAGTGCTAATTCTGCAGCTTTCACTTCAGATTAGGCAGAGCCTGTCCTCTGTCTGAAACTCCTCTGGTAGTCTCTTGCCAGCCTGACTGTAGCTTCCTGACCACGACTTCTCCTGTGCTTGACCCTCTTTCACTCAGGCACTGCAGTAGCATAGCCTTGGGACCCCTGAATTGAAGCCAGCCTGACTACTGATCCTGAGGTCAGCCAGCCCTTCCTAGAGTGGCATCGGAACACTTTTTCCAGGAGACCCAGCAGATGAGCAGTTGTGGCACGCACCATCTGCTGGTCTGTTCCACTGCTGCGTTTCTCTCTGAAAGGCTTTGGAGTCCCGGCTTTCACTTCATCTGTGGATTTCAGCCTTCCTTTCTTATGGTCCTGGAAAGAAAGTGCTGATTGTTCCTTCCTTTTTCCATGCTATGTTCTGCCTCCAGTTTCTCTGTAGGCTTCATTTTTTTTTTCTTCTGTCAGCTCCTTCCTGGGTCCCGGTGTGCCTCCCTCCTTTTCTTCCCCATTTGTTATTTTCTATTGTCTAGATTCCAAATCTTGGAGAGGCTGAGTTTGCTGTGCTTACCACCTTGCTGTTTTTTTGAAAATCCACAAATCTTGCTTTATTTTATAAAGTATGTTCTGTCTTTGCAAATTTAATATGTGCTTTTGAATAAAAGGTATTTGTAGAGGTGTGGGAGGTGTGTTTTATACCCCTTATCTCTTTATATCCTCTTATTTTTGTAGAATGGAATGTTCTGTGAATTTCAGGTCAAGTTAGTCAACATGGTTCAAAGTAGTTTATAATTCTGCTCGTTTTCCATCTGCTTCTTCTATGAAGTATTGAAAAGTGTTCAAATCTCCATCTGGATGTATGAAAGTTATCTAGAATGTGGGATACACCTGCATATCTCTACAGAGATACCATGTGTGATGAGGTCAGGTAATAGTGTTGCCATGGGAAAAAAATTCAGAATTTTAAATTGGGGTACCAGGTACATTTTCCTGATTTATCTCACCTTGATAAATCACTTGTTAATTAATCAAATAGTTATGAAATTTTTAATTTTTTTAAAAAAACATATCAGCAAGGGACTCCACATTTGAGGTCTTTTTTTTAAATTTTAAAGAGAAAAGACAACAAAAACTGATACAGTATTTCAAAGTAATATAGTAGGAGTGTGAAGTTGATTGAATTACAAGATATAAGCAAGAAAAATTGATCAAATAATATAGGTGCCAATGTTTCTTTTCAGTGAACTAATAGAAATTAGTAGTATAACTTTCTCAACCATCTTGTGTATGTGTGTGTGTGTGTGTGTGTGTATATATATATATTTTTTTTTCCTTTTCCCTTTTCTCCCTTCATCCTAGTTTCTTTTTCCTTTTGAACAGTTTCTTCCCATTTCACAGTGTCTATTGCACATTTTGGATCTTATTTGCTCTTTCACCGTCTTTTACTAGAAAGGTAATACAATGTTTACACGTGCAAGTCTGATTTATTTCATTTATGAAGATGATCTCAAGTTGCATCCATTTACCTATAAAAGCCTCACGTTTCTTCTTCTTAGTAAGAGTTGTATGCCATTGTACAAAAATACCACATCTTTTTTTTTTAATCCATTCCTTGGTTGATAAGCATTTGGGTCGTTTCCAAGATTTAGCTGTAAAAATTGTGGTGCTGTAAACATGGGTGCACATACATTGTTGTGGTGTGATGTTTTTAATTCTGAGAAATATTCAGGAGGGGAATAGGTGGGTCAAAATGGGACCTCTAATCCTAATTTTTGAGGACTCTCCACCGTGATTTCCATAGCAATGTCCCGGTCCCCACTCCCACCAACAGTGGAGGAGAATGGTTCCTTCTCCCCACAGCCTCTCCAGCATTTGTAACTCATTGATTTCTTGATGGTAGCCATTCTTTCTGGAGTGAGATGGAGTCTCAGTGTTGTTTTAATTTGCGTCTCTCAAGAGACAAATGATGTTGTACATTTTTTTATATATTTATTTGCTATTTCTTCATTTAAGAGGTGTGTATTCATCTCATTTTTGGATTGAGTCTTTGAATTTAGCGGAGGAAGAGTCTGAGTTTTTTTCAATTCTTTGTTTAGATATAAGTCCTTTGAGGGAAAGTTGGCTGCATTTTTTTCTCTGTGGGTTGTCTTTTCACTCTGTTGGTGATTTCTTTTGATGTGCAAAAGCTTTTTAATAAGGTGAGATCCCAGTTGTTGATTATTTAAAGTATTTTCATGAGGATCTGTGGAACAGATTAGAAGATGCACACAAGACTACAAACACACTCAGCCACTTTATCTTTGACAAAGAGGCCAAATATGTTCACTGGAAGAAAGATAGTCTCCTTAATAAATAGTGCTGGAAAAACTGGCTCTCTACATGCCAAAGTCTAAAATTATAGCTATGTCTCTCACCATGCAGTAGAGTCAAAATGAATCCGCGATCTAAATATTAAAAGAAATAGTAAATCTACTGGAAGAGAAAGTAGGCAGAAACTTTGGAGGCATAAGTATAGGCAGAGACTTCGTGCATTTGAATTTACAGAGGAAAGATTGGTTTGAGGGCTGGGCTTAAGAAAATGGAAACAGTGACATCTCGGTGCTCAAAGAGTTCATGGCAACCAGTCTTGACTTTTCCTTTCTATCTTTACAGCTCTGTGATTTTAGATTTCTAACTTTAAACTGACATTAGAACTTGTGGTCCTGGATTCTTTACAGTCCAGATCCTGGAGAATGAAGAAAGACTGCTTTTACAGAGTAGATGACTGGAGATGAAGTCACTCATTTTTTCCCAGATCTTTTATTCTTCTTAATTTTCACTATGCATTACATCGTTGACCCGTGTCTCAGTACTGTGTATTGCTGTTGTTTTAAAAAACTGTATTTGCTACTTACTGACAAGTCATTTTAATAAACTCATAATTCTAAAATGTTCAAAAGCTTTTTTAAAAATACAAAATTGTATTATCTAAAGTAATGGTCATTTTGCTCCTTGTAATGCTGAAATCCTCTTGATTTCATCATCTAGTACTTCTAGAGCGACTATGATGGGTGGTGAATCTGATTTTACTCTTACATATCCTTGGTATTGTTGTTAAATATGATGCCGTGTGTTGGTTTGAGAAAGATTTAAAAGTCTAAAGGAAATGGTTTTGCAAATCAGGACTGATTAATACTTTAGTACCATTTATTAAATTTCTTTTATTATTATTATTTTTTGGCCTAGGATATATTTTTCATAGGATCAAATTGCCTATGATGTGGCAATCTAGTCTTTCCATTTTTATTCCTTATTCCTACTAATCTTTACTCTGAATTGCTTTATCCAGAAATTGTTTTGATCAGGTTGTATTTTTATGCCAACTAATTGTAGCATTGTGACATCATTCTGTGCCATGTATAGAAAAGCCTACACTTCTCAGGTTATATATTATTTTTGATTCTTGCTCTTCAGAGCATATGTCTTTCTTTTCCTTACCTAAGACTTGAGGTTATGCTGTGTTTACAAGCTAACATGTTAACCCTGTGGATTCTGGCAAAACTCTCGTTTCCTAGGTTAGAGTCAAGAATAGTTTAGACTCAAAACACTCACAGTAGCAACAGTTTTTCTTGTACTGTTTCTCCATGCCCAGTTCCAGAGGTTAATGTAATGAGGGAAGGACAAGTTACCCCTCTGTAGAGGTCTCTGTTGTTTTTCGAGAAAGGGCCCTGAACATTTTTTGGAATCTTAATCTGTTTATTTCTTTTGTTTGAGAGTATCTCTCATTTTATAGGATATTCTCCCCAGAATATTCTCATCATTCTAATGTATGACTCCCATCTTAGACAGATGCTTTCTTTCGTATCTGTCATTGTAGCTCTTGTCTTTGAATTGCTGCTTATCAGGTAATCACCCCCCCCACTCCCCACCCCACTACATTCTCTTCTCTTTAGAAACTCCAGGGACCCTGCCTGGTTTGCTCATTGGCCTCCAGTTTTTTTCTTTTCTGCACTTTTTATAATCCCTGTTGTCTTGTTTACAATAGTATGCCATGCATGATTGTCTCAGTTCTACCACCAGTGGTAAGAGCTGCCCATGATACAGTCACACATACTCTACCAGAGGTTTGAGCTCACAGTCTTAACGTAGACACAGTTGGTTACCTACCTGTTGATTCACTAATAAAGAATGGCAACCATCTCTGTAAGAAACTTTGTCACTCAGAATTAGAGCTTGAAATTGGAACAAAGATCTGTTGCTAGGTATGTGTCAATGTGGAGGTACCAATGAGGAGATATTAATATACAGGAATTAAATTATATATTAATGAAAAGAACATCTTTATTGTGTAAACTAACCTCTATACAAATATTTCTGTATTGCTATTAAAATGTATTTTCACGTGACGTCAAAACATAATATGTGGAAATAAAATGTAAACTGTTCTTTCTTTCAGTGCTTAGATGAATATGAAGATGATGAAGCAGGGCAGAAGGAACGGAAAAGAGAAGATGCAATTACACAACAGAACACGATGCAGAATGAAGCTGTAAGCTTATTAGATGTGAGCAGTTCCTATTTGCCTCAGGTGAGTATTTAGAAGTACCAGGGAGCCACTAGTTATTTTAGCAATTTTCCAGATGCTGTTGGTAATTTTTCCAGTCTTGTTTTGATAGCATCAGCTTCTTTTACGTATTTTGAATGGATTTAACCATTGATTTCCCCATATCCAAATACTTTTTGACTTGAGCCCTGTTTAGCTCTCAGTTCCTGATCAACGAATATTTGTTAATTGACTGACTAGCAGGTTTAAATAATATCAGCTGTAAAAGTAATTAAGAAAAATAATTATGTTTTTACTATTAAAAAATAAAGTAAGGTAGTAAATTGAACTGAGTTGCCAGGTCTGCTATAGACAGATTTTTAAATTAGAGTTACAAAGCAATTTAAAAGTTCAACAGAGGGGCGGGCAGAAATTTTAAAAAAAGTTCAGTAGATTATTCATCCCAAATTAAAGGTTTAAACACAATCACCTCAACATATGGCATTGTGAATTACCAGAAATACCTGTATTTCTATGTGATTATATTTTTAAAATAAAATTTAACACTGTTTCAAAATAGCTGTTATTTTGGACCCTTGTAAGATAAGTGGATTTATGGTAAATAGTATAGCGTAACCTTTGTATAAAGCAAATCACTCTGCAGAACTTTTTTTGGTGGGGGAGGGCATGTATTAGGCCCAAGGCCTTACACATTGTAAGTATGTGCTGTATCACTGAGCTATCTACTTAGTCCCAGGATCGTTTGTATAAACTGTAATTTAGAAATAGCTTAACAAAATGTACTCGTAAATTATCTTGGTGGCATTTTGAGATCTTAAATTTACTTTGTCTTTGCAGAGTGCCTGCCTGAACTTATTTTTGGTACCTGGAATCAAACTTGACCTCACTTTTTCCAGGCAGGCACTGCTGCCTCAACTTTCTAAATGCATTTCATTGACGCTTTAAGAGGACTTTAGAAGACTACACAGGTCTTCCTATTTTTTGATGAAAATATGATATATCATCACCTTGTAAGGTTATGATGGCATTTGCAGAGGGAGGCAAAATGTAATCTTGACGTGATTAGGAAGTGCAGATACAAACTTCATTCTCTTTTACTTTCATAGGCAGAATGTATTGATGTGATGACTCATGGGATTATGTGGGTTTATCTGTTTCCCCTTACCCCGTAAGTTGCTTCCACTGCAGATATTATCATAGTTGTAGGAGTATCTTGTAACATGGTGTAAGGTAACAACCAATATTTCTCTTAGCATCTTTGTGATTGTTTGTAATCTAGAATATCTTTGTTTTCTTTTGTCTGGCAAAATTGAAATTAAATCTAGATTATTTCAGTGAAGACTTCCCGCAAGATGAAGGCTTAATTTATTGGACTAGAGATAATGTAGCATTTTAATTGAGAGTCTAAACCTGGTTTTAGTTCATGGCCATGCTACTGCTTGCCTTGGCATACTCAAATAGTGGCATATTCAGATAACATCAGACAGTATCTTTAGAAAGAGGGCCATTTGGTTTCTGTAGAATGAGGGCTGAAGAATCTACTTACAGTCTAATGTTATTCCCAAATTTATACGTAGACATTCAGCTCTCCTGATCTGGGCTTTACAGAGCTCACTGCTTCCTTGAGTTTACCTTTTTTTTCTGAAGTTTTAAAAATTTTATTAGCATGCCTATTGTTTATAAAGTAATATTTTGATTAAAAGTTTTCAAATAATACAAAATGAAAATTCAGACTGACTTTATATTTAAATCTGTATAGATAATTATACTAGTTTGTCAAGTAAAATTTAATTTTTGGGTTAAATGATTCATGATAAAAGAATTTGGAAAATAAAACATCTAAAAAAGGAAAAGTCCTTGGGTTGATCAGTTTATGTACTATTTTCTTATGAAATGTTTAAATTTTAAGCTTTAAACTTACTGTATCATCAGACACTGTGGCATGCCCCTGTGATCCTAAGTAGTTGGGAAATTGAGGCAAGGAGATTGAGAGTTCAAGCCATCGTGGGTAACAGAGCAAGCCGTGTTCCAGAACAAGAAAAACCTTCTGTTTAAATTTGATTAAAAAAATGCAAAAACACAAAAGGGTATATGGCTAAAAGTTTCTTTCAGTGGCCTGATAACCTCCTAGGGTTTTGTGAATCAGTTTCCAGGAATTCATTTCGCTGTGCTTAGCCATCCAGGCAACCAGTGGCTAGTACAACCATGGTCCAAAGAACCTGGCTACTGATACCACTAATATCAGATCCTGGCATCATCTACTTGTTGCTTGTTTTGGCACCATGCAAAATGTTTTGGTGCCAGGGATGCTTTCACCCAGATAGCAAAGAAGGGCCTGGAGTGCCAGGTAATTTGTCTAAGGTCTATACCTGATCTTTCACCTCTTGCTCTCTTGCACAGATGCCCTGCACTGCCTCTCGGCTTCCACGAACCAAGTATCTTTCTTCTATCTGCCCTTCTGCCGCAATGTTTGTGCCTCAATCCTGTTTTCCTTTGCCGCTTCTTCTATGCTTAAATCCTCTTTACTACAGGTACTGTAGTTCTGTTATCACATGCTATTTCTCACTCAACAATCTTCTCATCTCTTTTTCAGACTGACATTGCTAGTCTGTGGGATGCCCTCCTTACCCTTCTAAATCCTTTCTAAACTTTTCCATCCTTGGATTGACTATACAACCCTCAAGCCTTTCTTCATTCTTGCTCAGATCCTGAAACTTGATCCCTGGAATTCTTCTCCACGAGGAACCTCTCCTCAGCCTGATTAGATTTGGGCATTTCCATATGATACGTACTACCTGGGCCCTATTACAGGGTATGTGTGTATCTCTGAAAGTCATAATCTTTTTTTTTTTTTTTTGTCTTTTTCCTTTTTATTGGTACCGGGGATCGAACTCACGACTGCCTGCTTGCAAGGCAGGCGCTTATGTCACTGAGCTAAATCCCCAGGCCCCGAAAGTCATAATCTTTATGGTTGCTCTCACTGCTTTCTTGAATGAATGAGCATCACACTCTTGGGATTCCTGCTGCCCCTTCATAGGCTTTCGTTTCTAACCTTGTATCAGGACTGAAGCTTTTTCTTCTGTTTTATAGACACTCTTTATTCTGCCCCTGTTCTATTTTCTTAGGGTAGGCCAAATACTTCTGTCATATGATTGGTCTCCTCAGTTTGCTTCACCCCCTTCTACACCAAATACCTTTTCTTCATGTAGTGTTCCAGTATTCTGATTCCCTGTGTGAGCCATAAACTTTCTTCCCCTCCTTGTTCTAATGAATGTAAGTGTAAATTATTTAGGAAAGGAAGGAGAAGTTTGAGTTTTTTCTTTCTTTGTTATGAACTATGTTATAGAAATTTTATTTCGCAGTTGTCATCAGCAATATCTCTTACCAGTTATGGATACAATAAAGGCATTTACATGAGTATTGAGAGCTGATGAACATGTTATGTGATTATCAAGGGCTATGGATTTGTTACTAGTTGATTTGAATAACTTTAGTATTAATTTGCTATTCTGCTGGGCTTGTATTTGTCTGATCTTATGTTACAAATGCTTTTTTTTGTTTATATAAGTTCTGGTCTTCCATTGCACCTGTAAATAACTGTGTTCATGGGATTTCCTTATTTGCCATTGTAAGCTTGAATGAAGCAGAATATTAACTTTCACAAAACAGTTTGTGCTTTGCCAAGATTTTCTCAGCTCTGCCTGGGTATTTCCCTTTCCCTTTAGTAATATAAACTATCATATTGCAGGGAACATTAGTTCAAGGGAAATGTATTTGAAATCAGTTGTATAACAGACTTTGCAGGTTTTTGAGTGTGTAATTACATAGTCTGAAACTTTTCAGACCAGTATCAGCCTTACATTTTTACAAGCAGGTTCAATGATAATGGTATTTCTCTACTTTTACCACATGAAGAATGGAACTGTTGATTTTTAACAGTTACAGTAGTTATTGATATGTTATTAATAATGATACAGTTAATTTTCTTTACCTAGAAGTTTCTGTGGCCAGAGAAGTAAAGTAGTTCCTATTTAACAAATCGTTATTTTTGTTGCATTTATTTTGATGTGAAGGCGTGTCTAACATTTTCCTCCTTAAAATTACAGAGGAATCTACAGGGCGTTGGTGGTGGTATACACCTATAATCCCAACATTCCAGGAGGCTGAGGCAAGAATATTACCAGTTCAACTCCAGCCCCGGAATTTTAATGATTTAGTGAGACGCTGTCTCAAAATAAAAAAAGGGCTGGGGGGAATAGCACAGTGTGAGGGGACTGTATTTTAACCCACTTTTTTCTTTTTGGGCAAGAATATGGAGATCATTTTATAAATATAAACTTTCAATACATGTGAGAAGTATGCTGCTGCATTTCTAATTTCTGTTAGTATGAATGCCATGTAGATTGTCCAATTTGGGAATTATTTCATTGTTAAGGCCTGTGATTTTTAAATACATTTTTGTTCATACATGTGTGTAATACATAATGTTTACATTTCTTTATGTGGAGTTGTTCATGTACGTTACACATTTTAAATCCTTTTCTCATCCCCTTTCTCCTCTCCATGCAGTTGGGATTCTTTTTAGGAAGTCCTTGCCTGTGCCTTGGTCCTCAGAGTTTTACCTATTTTATCTTCCAGCAGATTGTTTCAGTTTTATTATTTAAATCTCTGATGCATGTGTATTTTATTTTAATGAAGGGTCAGAGTTAAGGTTCTAGTTTCAATCTTGTGCATCTACCTAGCCAGTTTTTCCAGCACCATTTGCTGAAGAGTTGATCTTTCTCCAGCGTGTCTTTGTGGCCTCTGTCAAAGATCAGGTGGCTGAATTGCATGGAGTTGTTTCTGCATCATTTGTTCTATTCCATTGATCCACATGTCTGTCTTTGTGTTTGTATCCCATTAGTTTTGTCATTGAAACTCTGTAATATAACTTAAAGTCTGGGACTGCTATGCCTCGGGTTTTGCTTTTGTTGCCCAGAATTAATGTTTGCTATTCTGGATCTCTTCTGGGTCTAAATAAATTT